TAATTTTTTCTATATATTTTTAGTTGTCCGATTAATTTGTTTCTATTGTTAGTAGAGACGGGGTCTCGCTCTTGCTCAGGCTGGTTTCGAACTCCTGAGCTCAGTCTGCCCGCCTCGGCCTCCCAGAGAGCTAGGATTACAGGCGTGAGCCATTGCGCCCGGCCCTGGCAAATCAACTTTAAAAAATGTAGCAAAGGCTCATACTCCAAGGATATTATGAAATTTCTAATTTTCATAAATCATATAATTTACAAAAGTGAAAACCTGGAAATAAATTAAACATCCAACAATAGGGACACTACGTAAAGTATGGCATTGCCATATGGCAGAAAACTCGACGGACACTAAAGGTGAAGCATTGTAGAAGAATATTTAATGACTTCAAGAACATAATTCAGTATTAAGAAAAAAAGCAGACTAGAATTCAGTGTGTGACCTAAAATCCATTTTTGTAAAACATGTGTATCTAAGTACTAAAAAAAGTCTGGAATGTTAACAAGTGTTATTATTAAGTAACATAATTATAGATAATTTTTTATTTTATTTTTTGAATCATTCTATATTTTTGAAATTTTCTATAATGCATATTATTTGGTAATCATATTTGAAGGTTATTAAAAATAATTTTAATATTTAAATTTGCACTAGTGATAAAACTGTAGAGAGCTTAATATACACACATGTGCACACACACACACATACACAAATGAGTACAAGTATTAATAAAATGGGGAAATCTGAAAAAGATCAACAGATTGTATCAATGTCATATGCTGGTAGTGATATACTACAGTTTTACAAAATGTTACCAACTGGGGCAACTTAGCAAAGTATACAAGGGATCACTTTGCATTATTTTTATAATGGAATGTGAATCTACAATTGTTTCAATTTTTAAAAAATTTATATCTCCACAAAGAGATTTTATTGTACTTTATAATTTTTTTTTTTTTTTTTTTTTGGAAAAAATTTCCCTTTTTTTCCCGGGCTTGAGGTCCATGGTGTCTCAGCCTAGCTCACAGCAACCTCAAACTCCTGGGCTCAAGCAATCCTCCTGCCTCAGCCTCCCGAGTAGGGACTATAGGCATGCGCCACCATGCCTGGCTAATTTTATTTTTCTATATATTTTTTAGCTGTCCAATTAATTTCTTTCTATTTTTGGTAGAGACGGGGTCTCACTTTTGCTCAGGCTGGTCTTGAACTCCTGAGCTCAAACAATCCGCCCGCCTCGGCCTCCCAGAGTGCTAGGATTACAGGCGTGAGCCACCGCGCCTGGCCTGTACTTTATAATTTTTTTAAGTGAAACACTAAAGTCATTCCCTTTAAAGTCAGGAATAAGACAAAGAAGCTATGATGACATTATTCAACAACGTCCCATAAGTCTTAGCCAAGGTACTAAGAACAACAAAAAAGAAAGTTTAGATAAATTAAAAAAGCAAAACAAACATATCATTATTTGAAGATGACATGACTGTCAATCTAGAATATAAAAGAATCAACCAAAAAACCTATGAGATTAATAGGGTTCAAAAAGGTAGCTGGGTCCAGGCACAGTGGCTCATGCCTATAATCCTAGCACTCTGGGAGGCCGAGGAGGGAGGACTGCTTGTGGTCAGGAGTTTGAGACCAGCCTGAGCAAGACCAAGATTCCATCTCCACTAAAAATAGAAAAATTAGCCGGGCATCATAGTGCGCACCTGTAGTCCTAACTACTCAGAGGCTGAGTCGGGAGAATTGCTAGAACCCAGGCATTTGAGGTTGCAGTGAGCTAAGATGATGCCACTGCACTCTACCCAGGGCCATAGAGCAAGACTCTGTTTCAGGACAAAAAAAAAAAAAAGGTAGCTGGATACAAAATTAATATGTGAAAATCAACAGCTTTCCTATATGCCAGCAGGGCATTCCTCCCTCATTTTTTGCCACTATATATACATTTTTTCTATTGCCAGACAATTTACCCTTTGTTAATGTTAAGAATAAGGTAGACAAATAAAGATACGGTCAACAATTTGTTAGGGAAAATGGATAAAATATGGCAAGCAGCATGAGAAAAACAGTGTGAAACATCAGCTTGGTCTGCTCTGTGCACGTTAGCTTTCTGAAACAGAGCAGCGGGCCCCGCTGGCTTAGCACTGAGAGAGAGGCAGCTCCGCTGGCCTTACCAATAGTCCACGCCCACAGTGTTTCTCCCTGTGACACAGACACACACAGCTGGGGATCTGCCTTACCATCTTGCCGCTGACCGTGGCCTCGAGAGAATCCACCAGCTCTGCCGTGACGCCAATGAGATTGTGGTAGTCCGCTTGGATCTTATTGTACCGCTTCAGGTATGTCATTGACCTACGTTCGGCTTCGACAAGCTGCTGGTGGAGCTGCTGCAACATTTCTAAGAAGACAGTTTACGTTAAAATGAAACAAAAGAACAACAACAAAAACGTACAAAATGAAAAATAACTGTATTCTTCTCAAAGGACTACCACACCTGTCAGAATATTTTGCTATAACAGTAACTCGACACTATTTGTGTTTAATACTTTACTTTTATTTCATGACACAGTTATTTACAAAGTGCTTTGTAACCACTGATTTAAAATTTCTTGTTTCTGGAAGTTCAACTGAATCATCGCTGGATTCCCTAACAAGATCTATTATATTTCCAGCCAGGTGCGGTGGCTCACGCCAGTAATCCTCGCACTTTGGAAGGCTGAGGTGGGAGGATCGCTTGAGCCCAGGAGTTCGAGACCAGTCTGAACAACATGGCAAGACCCCGTCTCTACAAAAAATAGAAAAAAAATTATCCAGGTGTCACAGTGCACACCTGTAGCCCCAGCTATTCGGGAGGCTGAGGCAGGAGGCTCACTTGAACCCAGGAGTTTGAGGCTGCAGTGAGCTATGATGACACCACTGCACTCTAGCCTGGGCAACAGAGCGAGACCCTGGCTCAGAAAAAAAAAAATCTATTTCCTTGACTGAACCTCATGCAATTTCTTTTAGTTCTTCTCTCCCTGACTAAAAAACAAAATCAACGTTTCTTTCTATAGTCAGCTCACAAAATGGTTGAATCAAATCTGTGTCTTTTTCTGTTTTTGCACTATGAGGTTGTCTGGGGGACAATTCATTTCTGCAGGACAGTTCTTCATTTTAAATAAAAATTAGGCCCGCTTGACTGATGCTGAGAAAAACAAGAATCCAGAATAAGAAAAGATTCCAGTGCTCATTCTACCATTTTGATAAAACATAAAATCACTGCCACCAGGCCTTAGAGCAAGTGGCTTGGAAGGCTCGAGGGTTCTCTGCTTGGAGTCCCTCCATGGAGCAGCCTAGAGAGACTGAGGCCACGCCATCCTGACCACAGTTGGAATGGGCAAATCACCTATTCTACTTCTCCCCTCTCTTGAAAGTCACATTTTGGATGGAAGGAGATAATACTGCCCCCAAACCCAGGTTAGCCCACTACCGTCCTGACCCAGGTACTGTGTAATATTTAAAGTCTTCATTTTAGAACAGATTTCAAGGAGAGAGAGAGAGAGATTTTAAAATTATAAAGATTTAGGCTCCAATCCCTACTCTACCAAGTTCTTGCTGCACAGACAAAATATTTAACTTGTTAATTCTCATTTCTTAACCTATAAAGTGGGGGTAATGATAATTACCTTGAAGGGTTATTGTGAGGATTAAATGAAAAAATATACTCAGGGAGCCTAGCACAATGGCTGGCCCAGAGCAGGTGATCAATAAGTGGTGGCTAATATTATTATTTCATTTTATGGAGAGGGGCAAAGGCTTTCTACACGCATTTCTATGCATGTAGGTAACTCGAAAAAGTGGCAGAAAGGTTCCATCCTAAAATAGTGCAAGCTTTAAAAGATATGAGAATCATCCAAAACTAAAGATGATCAGGGCTCTCCCCCAGACATTTGGATTTTATAGATATTGAGTGGAGTCTCAGTATTTATATTTTTAACAAACTCTCCAAATGGCTCTGATACATACCATAAGTTCGAGAACCACTGTCCTAAGTTACCCACTCTTCCTAATTTGTGTTCTAAACAGCTATAAGGATCACCTACATTCAAATTATATTTCAAAAACTTTCATGTTTCATGATTGTTTATGTGTGGAGAAGTAAAATACTTCAACTATTACAATCCAAAATATCACTTGATAATGAACTATTATTATTATTGTTCAAAATCTACAAATCTCGGTATTTAAAAGTCATCTGGCACGAATTTACACCCAGTACTTAAACCCCTGGAGAATATCCCTGAAAATCATTTATCAAGCTTCTCCTTAAATATTACTAGGGAAAGGGAATCACTACTTTCTGCCTCTTACAATATGTTAAATTTGTGCAATTATTAAAGTTTTTCATATGTATAAAATTCAAAATTAAACTAAAACTCCCAAAGATGAAAATTCTATATAATATTATTCATGATTTCATTTCATGGTAGTAAATGCTAGAGAACATCTGTGACAACTTTCTTAACATGTACCAAGTGGTATAAGATGAATCAGGTACTAAAATCCATTATCCGGGCCAGATGACCTCCCAAATCCTCAGTGTGAACGTCCAAAGCGGTCCCTCCCTAAAGCGGACTGCACAAAGGAACTCTTCTCCTCAGAACCTCATTTTGCAATTAACTAAACATAAGGGATTATTTGTGGTGCTTTTGCCTTGGGAACCCAGAATTGGAATTTATTACAATTTCAAAGTGTGGAACATCTGAGGGAAAAAAGATTTAACTGTCCGCAGCATACAGGAATGAGAAGCTGGCAACGGGGCTGAAATGTTTGTGACCATTTTCAAATACTGTTGGCACTCTGTATCCATGGGTTACACATCTGTGCATTCAGCCAACCTCGGATCAAAAATATTTGGGGGAAAAAAACCCACATCTGAACATGTGCAGACTTTTTTTCTTGTCATTATTCCCTAAACAATACAGTATAACAACTATTTACAGAGCGTTTATATTGTGTTAGGTATTATAAGTAATCTAGAGATGCTTTAAAGTATACGGAAGGATGTGCATAGGTTATATGCAAATACTACACCGTTTTATACAAGGAACTTAGCATCCATAGATTTTGGTACTTGAGGGGGTCCAGGAACCAATCCTCTACAGATACCAAGGGACAACTGTATAACCTTTAGCAGAGGAATAGCCGCTACCCAGAGATATCACCTTGCAGACAGCTAGCTATAAATAGCACCTGACCCATGACTATAAGCTACTTGGGAGACAGCTCAAAGACATCAACTTTATTTCAGAGCAATTAACAGCACTTTGACTCTTTTCTCTGTCAAAAGTTTTATGAAACAAGAACAACTAAGTCAAGACAGCTTGCCATGCAAGACTTCAACTTTTAATGGAGATGACTTATTAGAAACTCCATGTTATTTTAATAAAACTGTCAGTCATGACAGTGAAATTTATTGAGACCCTTCATATTCCAAAACTACTGACATAATTTGTACAAAAGTCCAAAGAACTGCATTCCAAGGCTTAAATGAGAGATATATAAAACTAAAAAAATGTCAATTAAAGTCATAGTTTTCCTGTAATTCCAGCATGCAAGGAATCAATAACAACAGTGGTGCAAATCTCTCCTCAGCCACACAAGCTTTCTCTTTTAACACTTCTACTTCATTTAACACTTCTACTTCATTTAAGGGCACTGTTTTTTGTTTGTTTGTTTGTTTAAGGGTAAATGAGAATTTCATTTTGGAGACAGAGACCTTGGCTGCTCAAGACAAAATAATCAATTTTAAAATATAGAATTGTTTTTCTAACCCAATATAAAAACCTAAAATCAATCACTCTATAATGAAATACTCTTTCCTCTTTGTATTCAGATATAAATTTCCTCTTTGGTATTTTGCCAATCCACAGATACTAGATAAAGAAAATTATAACTTATAACTATTCATATAGGTCATCATTTTTAAAAATACTGTTTAGGGCTCCAAATTCTAGAAAAATTATCAGTTGCTCATTTTCTGAAGAGGCTGAATGAATTATGTCAGAAATGCCAGAAGAAGCCATTTCTATATCCTTTTAAAATGGCTAGGTGAAAATAATAATCCAATGTGCTATATTGCTACCCAACATTATTATTTTTTTTTATTTCAGCATATTATGGGGGTACAGATGTTTAGGTTACGTACGTTGCCCTTGTCCCCCCCCCCAAGTCCGAGCTTCAAAATGTATGGAACGCTTCACGAATTTGCATGTCATCCTTGCGCAGGAGCCATGCTAATTTCTCTGTATCGTTCCAATTTTAGTATATGTGCTGCCGAAGCGAGCACCCAACATTATTTTTTAATGTTATTCCTTTTGAGAGAATTTTCTACTACAAATACTTTTCTTGCCATCTTCAAAAGCCTATGGAAATCTTACTTTATCCATGAAACCTTCCTATCAAGACACCTAGAATAATGGTATCACTCAACCATTCCATTACAAAAAACACCTGCGGCCAGGCACAGTGGCTCATGCCTGTAATCCTAATACTTTGGGAGGCTGAGGTGGGAGGATTGTCTGAATTCAGGAGTTTGAGACCAGCCGGAGCAAGAGGGAGCCCCCATCTCTACTAAAAATAGAAAAATTAGCCGGGCATCATGGCGTGCACCTGTAGTCCCAGCTACTAGGGAGGCTGAGGCAGGAGGATCACTTGAGCCCAGTTGTTTGAGGTTGCAGTGAGCTATGAGATGCCACTGCACTCAACCCAAGGCGACAGAGTGAGACTCTTGTCTCAAAAATAAATAAATAAATA